GTGTATAATTTATTTAAGTTCCTGCACTTTATTTGATATACATATAACTGCAGCTGCTTAAGATCGTTCAGAATTCCTCGTGTAAGGAATTATATAAAGATGAACATGTACCCTCTAAGCACAGCTGCAGCAGTCGTGGATGTAACTACGTGAAAAGCGGACTTTGATTTATTTTGCTGTCATTTGGTATACGTTCATATACATACATACATACGTACATATAAATATTCTTAACGAATAAGATTGGGATCATATAAACTTTCTTTGATATAATAGCCAATATGCCATTGAGAAATACTTCTTGGTGTGAAAGCTTTTCAGAATACATACATATGTATGTACTGAGCTTCCTAGAAAAGCGTAGAAATAAATGTCCAAAAACTGAGTCACTCCTTTGGAATTCAAACCATTAAAATGTAAGCCTGTCCCTCTGCAATTTCTTGTGAAGCATTTTGGTTTCATTTAAAATCCTGCCAACGATAATTGAATTTAATTTCTTTACTGCTTTATTTCCAGTATCAATGGTTCTTGGGCTTCGTGCTGCTCTTAGTCATCANTTTGCCCTTCCTCGATAGGCGCGAGCCGCACAAGACACTGACAGAGCTAGCCAAAAGCTATGGACCAATCTATTCGCTGCGGCTGGGCAATGTGAATGCGGTGGTGTTGGCCGATGCCAAGTCGGTGCGTGAATTTCTGAAATGTGAAGAATTGACCGCGCGTGCGCCACTCTATGTAACGCACGGCATAATGGGCGGTTTCGGTAAGTGCAAGTAAAAGTGTGTGTAAATATGCCACTCACTCACTGCACAGCATTTGCTGCGTGTGCGAACAAAACAAAAGACTTAAGCAGCGAACTTTTTTCCCAGTTGCGATGTGTGTGAACAAAAATGTTTCATTTTTTATTCATTTATTTATTTTTTTATTTTTTTTTTGTCTCTCTCGCCAACTGTTTAGCATTTATATTTATGTTTTCAGCGCAACGGTAACTTTCGATTTCTTGAATATCCCTTTTTTGATACGTTTTTGTATATTTTGTGCTGTTTTTGTTGTTGTGTTGCTTTCTTGCAGGTCTGATCTGCTCTGAAGGAGCGCTGTGGCGCAATCAGCGTAAGCACGTCGTTGACTGGCTGAAAGACTTGGGTATGACAAAAAAACAATGCAATGCGCGTAAATCAATGGAGCAGAGAATAAAAAGTGGCGTCATGGAATGTCTGAAGGTAGCTAATTCATTCATACAAGTGTGCGTAAATATGTATCTATAGAAGCTGGTAGAGAACGACACGGCATGACTCAGTAACGCAGCCATCCGTATTGGATAATTTTCTTAATGCTTAAAATTGATTCAAAAAATTGCTTAAACGGCAGTAAAAATGGCAGCAAAATGCAAAACAAAATGAAAGTGAATGTGTTTGCTAATTTGATTTTAATCTTTTTCATTTGTTTCGCAGTCCTTTTGCAGTGATTCCAAGAAACCGGTGCCTTTCGATCCACATCCCGTGCTGCAGCATACGTTGGGCAACGTCATCAATGACTTGGTATTTGGTGTGAAATACGCACCCGATGACGCCACCTGGAATTATCTGCAGCAGTTGCAGGAGAAGGGACTCAAGTTGATTGGCGTTTCGGGTGCAGTGAACTTTTTGCCTTGGCTGAGGTAGCGCCCACCATTTTAGTATATATTGCATGATTATATTATTTTCTAACCATTTTTTTTTGTACAGGTTTTTGCCCTGGAATCTGAGCGCCATTCGTTTCTTGCTCGACGGCAAAGCGCGTACACACGAAATCTATAACAAAATCGTAGAGAAACGCGAAAAGTCTTGGGAATATCGAAAATCTGTGACTGAGGAAAGTTTTAATATACTCGATCATTATATTGATGAGCGCATGCGACGTGAACTATCCGATGATCCGCAAGAGCGTCTATCAACTGATGAGTACTACACGCAAGATCAATTGCTGCATCTGCTGGCTGATTTGTTCGGTGCTGGGCTGGACACCACGCTTGCCACACTGCGCTGGTTTCTCTTCTACATAAGCAAATACCAAGAGCTGCAAGAGCAGCTGCGAGCGGTGCTTGTGCTACGAAATATTTCATAGTGATTAAATAATTCACTTCATTTTATTTTTGTTGTTGTTGTAGGAACTCTCGAAAATACCTGACAGCGAGTTTGATTTGGATCACCTGGAGAAGTGTGACTTATTACGGGCATACATATCTGAGGTGCAACGCATACGATCTGTTGTGCCTTTGGGAATACCGCATGGTGCCGTAAAAGATTTCACTCTGGGAGGATATTTGATACCGAAAAATTGTATGATCATCCCTCTACAATGGGCCGCACATATGAGTCGGTTGAAATGGATTGAACCCGAACTCTATTGGCCCGAGAGATTTTTGGATGATGATGGTCATTATCAACAGCCACCGGACTTCATACCATTCCAAACAGGTAAGGGGAAGGTGAAATATATTTGTAATATAACACAGCCCGACTTGACAGTTGCACATTGGATATGGTTAGCCAAATTTAGTAGATTAATGCTCGCTGAATCTAAATGCGAACTAAGAATTACTCTTTCACATCAGGTTTTTTTTTTATAGTTAAAATCGTGAAATTTCGTGGGCTACTTTATAAGTAATCATACAAAACTCTACTGAGATCGGTGATGTATAAGCTATATCTCCAATAACACTGATTGTTCAGATACAAAAATTTTAATTGTAGTAATCTGTTAAAATAAAATTTTGTGATGTTCATGCAAGGTAAATATGAAGCCTTCGGCATAGCCGAAGACAGCATTGCTCTTACTGTTTTCCTAACCTAAAATGCCGTTGTGTTGGCCCGAATGTATTTTTTATTTCACTGAGAAACCAGGAGCCAGTCATGACGCCGAAAATAATGCCAACCAAAACTTCGTAAGGGAGTCTCTCTAACCAGTAAATCGTATCATTCACGTACCAAAACAGACACAATTTCCACTACATATTTAGGAAGAGAATATAAAAAAAAAACAATTATGTATGTATGTAATATATTGCCATTGCGTTTTTTTATTTTTATTGAAAGCGGGAAGACTTGGATTAGAGTTGTGTTATTTACAATAATGCAGCGGTAAATATGCAACATATATGTATGTATTAGAGTCCAGCGCAATTGTATTTGCCGCATTTCA